TAATGTGTATTCATATAAATAATTATAACAGTGTTTAAAATACTTATTTTTATTTGCATACACATTTTAAGATATTTTTTCCATGTTATAAAATAGAATAGAGCTAATTATTTATTGGTAATATTTTAGTAGCACATACTTGAGTTTAACTAATTAAATATTATTTTACTTAATTCACAAATGATGTCCTTGATATATGTTCAAGTTTATCACTTAGATGACTTTGTCATGAGAAAAATCTATTTTTAAAGGAAATAATTTAGTAAATTGAATTTAAGAGGCATGTTTGGGCATGTACCTCATATCAATAAGGGTAAATTTTTAAAAAACTATATAAACATTCACACAATAAACATGCATCAGATATGATCAGGATGAAGTAACACTGATTTCTCGTAAATATCTTATAAAACTGCTATTATTTAATTTATATGACTTAATACTAAAGTTGAAAATATATATATATATATATATATATATATATATAGAGAGAGAGAGAGAGAGATACATACATGCATATACTTTATCATGACTCTATAAATATTAGTCAAATAACACAAATTTAAAGATTGAATCTTTTGGTAGTCTAAAATTTTGGGAATAAAAGGGTTTGGTCCGATAGCTCCTAGAGAAAAAAATGAATAAGCGATAATAGAATGCTAAAAAAATAAATTGCTTCAGTATTCTACAATAAAAAACTTAACAATTTGAATACTATGTATCATTTAATATAGAAATATATTATGTATAGTTCATATTATATAGTTTTAAATAACATGGAGAAAACTATAATTATGTTATTTTGTTCATAACTCTTTTGAAGATATGCAATACGATGATAAGTTCTTATAACCAAAAATAAATTGATAATCACATGATCTCTGTTTAAAATACATAATAATGTTGTACCTTTGTCACACCTCCTTTTTACACACCTACCCCGAAGGATAATGTATAAGGGAGTTTTTCCATTTAAAGTGACATTATTCGAAATGAGATTATTTATTTGTTTTTAGAGTCGCCACTTGGGATATGATTGGCTTTTGGTGTCCCAAGTCACCGGTTTAACTTGAATCCCAAATCGAGGAAAATTTCGACTTCTCAATTGGAGTCTGCGAACCAGAAATTCTGAATAAGGAATTCTGTTGACCCGAGGGAAGGTGTTAGGCACCCCCGGATCCCGTGGTTCTAGCACGGTCGCTTAAATCATCATAAATGGCTAAAATCTAATTTTTATATATGCTCCAACCTATAGTGCAAGTTTAAGATTATTTACCGCTTTTTAGTTAATTTTTAAGAAAGTGAACGTCGTTTAAAAACGTGTTTTTGGATCACGTCACATGAAATGCACCCGGATCCTCGACACATTCTTATTCAACGTTTTGGGATTTGGATTTGGGTTGCATGAAATGCACACCCGCATTTAGGAAAGTAAAATTATTAAAAGCGCGCCTAAAGTGGCTAGCGTCTTGTTAACTTTGCGGGAGGCCATGAAAATTCGCTAAATGGCACGTCCCGAATTTCTAAAATATTTTTAATAAAGCATTTAATGAGGGCCCCGCAATTTATGCATTTTTGTTTGGCGAGGCTCGTCTCACTTTTTATTTAAAGGCCAATCCTAAAGTAACTACGATTTTCTATTTAATATGTCTCTAACAAAGACCTAATTAATTAGTATTATAGAATTCGGGCTTCAAGTTCAAGTCCGGATCCAAACAAAAGGAAGAACCCTTTAATTTGAACCCGCTACCTAACTTAAAGCCCACAGCCTGCCATTTAAATACTAACAAACCAATTGCCATTTCAGTCTTGGGCCCAATGAGCCCAAGCCATATGATGCATGCACGCCGGACAGGGATTCCCAATAAACACAGATATTGGGCCTGAGACCAGCCCAAATCGGACAAGGCAGACCAGGCTGCACAGGAGAGATCGAGGGATCGAATCCCTGAAGCCGGGCAGGCCATGGGATTGCTTACAAATTGCCCATCATTAATTAGACTTTCTGATTTTAAGGCAAGGCAGTGTTGAAATCATATTACTAACAAAGTAGTTCCAGAATACACCGATCTAAAACTGATCATCCAGGCCACCTGTTAGATTAATGTGTTAATTTTGTGATCCTAGACTTAAACTAAAACGTGCAGGAACCTTTATTTGTAAAGTCAGGCTTTCTCCTTTAATTTTCAATTATCAGAATAGACATGGAACGAAGCACTCAAAACACAGCCTCATTTTACTCCGTGGAAGTTCAATACAGTCGAAGACAGACCCTAAAACAATCTTATTTGATTACAGATTATAGTGAAAACAACTACCAAAGGTTTATCTCATGGTTGATTTACTTTTCAAACAGATTTATGAAACAATTGATAGGAAATCAGCGAAAACTAACTCAAACTATTCCATTAACCTAACATGAGACTATTTATAACTAGTATTCAACTCAAAAAGCTCTCATGCATCTGAGACCCAAGAATTAACAGTCCAGCTAATACAAAATCAGTTTTCAGTCCAGTACAGTCCCACATATAGATCAAACCAGTCCAAACAGTTGGTCTAATTACAACTAAACATGAATAACTAAGCTAAATATTAATAGTTAACAACAATTCTAAGTAAACTCAGGTGAACAATGAGCAATTCTTCATCATTGATTCCACAGGTTTTTCATACACGTGAGTCAAACTTCCAGATCATTAGGGGCAATGAAAGTGTACCTGGTATTTAAATCACAACAGAAGGAAGAAGTATCAGCAGCAGTAACAATAATCAGCAGCTTGTGACCCAGGAGTAATGTCAGATTCAAACCAGGAAAGGCTTTCACACCAAACAGACACAAAACTCAATCAAAACAGCTTGAATAACACCAAATTGACTCGGAAATGCACCCAAAACACTTCTGAAAGTTTCAGCAACTAGAAGAAATGCAATGTAACAGCTTTTTTTGGATTTTTCTATTGTATTTGAGTTTGTTTTTGGATTTTTGCAGAAATTAAGATCTAAAGCTGAAATTTGAGCTTGATCTCAAAAGCTCTTCAATGAAACCGTTTTTTTTTAGTTTTCTGGAGTTTTTGATCTAGGATCTAAAGGAACTTGAACTTCTATTGTTTTGAAATTCAAATTTGGACTCAGATCTGCAGAGAGGGTTTTGGGGGAATTTTTTGGGGTTCCAAAACTTGTCCATGAAGCAAAGAGGACTGCCCTTTTATAGCAAAAATCAGCTGCAACTTCCAGATTTCATTTTTAACACTTTAGCCCTTGATTTCCTAACTTGTTGCTCAAGTTAATATCCTAGCTTTCTGCAATTTTCCGTTTGAACCCCATCTAGAAGCTTCTAGGAAGTTCTATTTCAACCTACAGCATTCTAACCCATCACTAAATACCTAAAATATCCCTGAATACCCCTGAAATTACTATCCCTATACCAAACTAGACATCGCCCTCTTTTACTCTAGTTAAAGTCAACTATAGCTAATCAAAGGGTTGAATTTATTCAGCTATATCCAATCACCCTAAACTAAACCTAACACTTACTTGAAAACAAACTAGGAACAATTACTTAATCACAATCATGCATTAACAGGACTTAAATCGATTACTTAGACCAATTAGAATAGCTACTGAAAAAAAATTAACTTCTGCACATTTACTGAACAAATACGGATTCAAAACACGAAACAAACCATAAAAAAAAAAACTAATTAACCCCAATCTTGAAGAATTCAAACGAACAAATTATTATTATCAGAAGAAGAGCAGACATACCAAAATTGAATCAAAACTAACTAACAATTAATTACTTGAACTAATTGAACTAACATTTAAACGTTTACACTAACAGAATTAAACAGAAGAAAAGAAAAAAAAAATCAGATCATGATTAAACTAAAAAAAACAAAACAGCACAGAAACTAAAGTCGTATTAACTATCACCAAGAACATAATTAAGCATTCATGAAAACAAAGAAATAATGAAAATCGAGAATAAAACTCACTAATTTAGACCAGCTTGAACGCCTACATGGACTAAAGTTCTTCAAACCCTATATTCAAGATTTGTGGGCTTGCGCTTGGATTCGATGGATTCCAACTTGAACTTCAGAGCGAGGAGGTTTAGGAAGGCTTGGTGTATGATTTTGGGACCTTTTGGAAGACTTAGGGTTTTGAGTCAGATTTTCAAATCACCATTCGAGCCGTTCGGTTGTGGTTCGAGGAAAAACCAAAGCTAGATATGGAATGAGGAGGAGGCGAGGAGCCTAGGGTGTGGATTTGGGGTCATTCGAAGCAGGTAATATTTTGACCGGATTTTCGATCCGAGGATAAAGCAAGCACCAAAACAGGTTTGACCATAAACTCTCAGGACCCTCCTGGAAAATGGGACTTAGTTTAAATCTCAAAACAATCATGAGTAGCATAATTTAGCATAAATGTACCCCAAAGGAATATAAGTTGGTTTCCAAGTTTGCATGCTTAAGATAGGATTCAATTAGAAGTTTTCAGGACCCTCCTGGATAATGGGACGTAGTTCAAGGTCTGCTTAGATAACAAGATATAGTGGAAGTCATACCTTTAAAAGATATAGCTTAGATGTAAAATTGTTGTTTTGTTAAGAGTTGTCAGGACCTACCTGGATAATAGGACCTAGCTTTCAAATTCTTAGTAACATTTGGCAATACGATTCAGTTTAACACTCACATATGTGCCCAGCTACCAAACTGGGGCAGGAAATTTTCTTTGTTTTGTCTATCTTTGTTGAAATCAGGCGCCCACCTGGAGAACAAGGGAATACATTTCAAGTTTAGCAATCAGGAATCCGCCTGGAAAACAGAGGCATTTATTTCAAGTTTTAGCAATCAGGAGCCCGCCTGGAGAACAGAGGCATATATTTCAAGTTTTAGCAATAAGGAGCACGCCTGGAGAATAGAGGCATTTATTTCAAGTTTTAACAATCAGGAGCCCGCCTGGAGAACAGAGGCATTTATTTCAAGTTTTAGCAATCAGGAGCCCGCCTGGAGAACAGAAGCATTTATTTCAGATTTAGCAATCAGGAGCCCGCCTGAAGAACAGAGGCATTTATTTCAAGTTTTAGCAATCAGGAGCCCGCCTGGACAACAGAGGCATTTATTTCAAGTTTTAGCAATAAGGAGCCCGCCTGGAGAACAGAGGCATTTATTTCAAGTTTTAGCAATCAGGAGCCCGCCTGGAGAACAGAGGCATTTATTTCAAGTTTTAGCAATCAGGAGCCCGCCTGGAGAACAGAGGCATTTATTTCAAGTTTTAGCAATCAGGAGCCGCCTGGAGAACAGAGGCATTTATTTCAAGTTTTAGCAATCAGGAGCCGCCTGGAGAACAGAGGCATTTATTTCAAGTTTTAGCAATCAGGAGCCCGCCTGGGGAACAGAGGCATTTAGTTTAAGTTTCAGCAATCAGGAGCCCGCCTGGAGAACAGGGGCATTTATTTCAAGTTTTAGCAATCAGGAGCCCGCCTGGAGAACAGAGGCATTTATTTCAAGTTTTAGCAATCAGGAGCCCGCTTGGAGAACAGAGGCATTTATTTCATGTTTTAGCAATCAGGAGCCCGCCTGGAGAATAGAGGCATCTATTTCAAGTTTTAGCAATCAGGAGCCCGCCTGGAGAACAGAGGCATTTATTTCAAGTTTTAGCAATCAGGAGCCCGCCTGGAGAACAGAGGCATTTATTTCAAGTTTTAGCAATGAGGAGCCCGCTAGGAGAACAGAGGCAGTGGGAAGTATGACGAGGGCATGGCGAGCTAGATCGATAAACCGGGTCTCATACTGAGTGACTGTCATAGACCCCTGCTGGAGGCGCTCGAACTACCTCCGATAAGCATCCCTCTGAGTAACGGGGAGAAACTTCTCCAGGAACAACTCTGAAAACTGATCTCAAGTCAAAGGCGGCGACCCTGCTGGTCTGGCTAAACAGTAATCCCTCCACCAAGTCTTGGCGGATCCGGATAGACGAAAAGCCGCAAAATCAACTCCATTGGACTCCACAATGCCCATGTTTCGAAGAACCTCGTGGCAGCTGTATAAGAAATCCTGGGGGTCCTCAGAAGAAGCTCCGCTTAATGTAGCAGTGAAAAGCTTGGTGAACCTGTCCAGCCTCCACAAAGCATCAGCGGACATAGCCGCTCCATCATCGGCC